GATAGCCTCCAACCTTCTAGTGATGGCCTCCAACCTTCTGTGATGGCCGATAGCCTCTAACCTTCTAGTGATGGCCTCCAACCTTCTGTGATGGCCGATAGCCTCCAACCTTCTAGTGATGGCCTCCAACCTTCTAGCGATGGCCTCAAACCACAGAGTGAGGCCGGCAAGGCATCCTTTTGCCCCCCACGCAACATTGTATGGTGCCAGTGGTGCCAGTCTTTCGCAGAGTCTCGAGGTCATAATTTCATAATCGTCCTGACGCAGAATTTTCAGTTTAGCACCACATGTGTTTTTGCCTATTCCTCGGAGTATCCCCAAAATCATCCCCAAACCCATCGGATGGGAATTCACCTCTCCCAAGTCCAAGAGAATCTCTTTTCTTCACTCGCCGTCCCCGCGCGGTCGCCGAGACGTCCGTGCGGCCGAAACTGACGTGCGCAGGAGCAGATGAAAACGGTTCAGGTCACCAAGACCGATGTGTTCCAGGCGCAGTCAGGATTTTTGCGCCTCACCGGCGAGACCGCGGCGTCGGAGCTGGAGCTGCTGGAGCTGGGAGAGGTCGGCCTGGTGAGTCTAGGAGGCGGACTCTTTAAAAGATGTGAGATGTGCTCCGAGAAACCAACACATATCAAAATACATCAAAATACCTTAATAACACTTAGACGATGACAAACGGCTAGTTCCTAAAAAAGCGAGCATTCTGCATTCTCACGTTTTGCACTCACTTTTTTTGAGGCCTTGCTGAAGCATCCAGATGAGACGGAAAGCTTCCTGCAGTGGAATCGGGCCATGAGGAAGAGGTCCAAGACCAATGGCGTGAAGAATCTTCGGCAAGTTGGACTCGCGCAAGTTGGCTGTGTGTCAAAAACACCTCCCTGAACCATCCTATTTGCAGATCCCTATAAGGCCTTTACTATCCCCTGCCAAGGTATGATTGCGGTGCTTTGTTTTTTTGTTTTATCAGTATTAGAAGCTGATTCCCCACTTTCACAGGTAATTCCACAGGAATATTTACTAAATATCATCATTCACTGAGTTAGAGAAGTATACACCGGTAATAGGACCTTAAATATAAGCATGAACCATGAATACTGAAACCTAACATACTAGGATAGGCCCAAGGCGTATATACATCTTAATCAGATTGGTCAGGAATTGGTTTCGATGCATTTTGCAGCCTTCATTCAAGCAGGCAATTGAAATTTGTCCACTGAGGATTCTGGAGAAGATGGGGCTGCCTGTGCCGAGGGCGAGTGGGTGGAAAAGGGTGGCGGGGGATGTGTACCTTGCCCGTGGAGTTTGGAGCGGGTGACAGAAATGACAGTGGGAAGCAACCCCCAATTCCGTGAAGTTCCCCAGTGACAGATCGAAAAATGGGCCCCCAAGTCGATCGAAATACGCATTGGCTGATTGCCAGCTTTTGGACTTGTGATATGAGCTGTATAATTAAGGACCATAACGCAAGCTTGTTGCCAAAGGGCCATGGCGAGGAAGTTGTAGTGATGTGTCATGGATGATCATCATGGCGAGTGTCCCCAAAGGCTGACACGATTGTCAACATCCCGACGCCTCTTCCACCAATATGTTTGCGCCACGTGTCTTGAGTAAGCTTGGACCTCCATACGTGGTCGGTCGCTCAAGTTCGAGACCTGGAAAGGGTGTTTGTTGACAAGGAAGTGTCGGATTTCGACCCCCAACAAGTGTCGGAAAGCCCCCACCCAGTCCAAAGCAAAATCTGGCCCAGACAGCGTCACTCTCCGAAACCCATGGCACTGGTCGTGAATTCACGTCCGGGGAGGACCTTCAGAAGAGGACTGAGTTACTGAACCTCGTGCGCAGCGTGCTGGAGACCAGGATGAAGGCGCGGATCGGCATGCCGAGACGCAGGACAGGCGGGAGTCCGGTGGACATCGATGGCGCGATCACACCACCGCCACGCTGGAGGTTCCAGGCGCCGATCATGGTGGATTCGATAGTTTGACCATGTTTGACCCAGTCTTTTTTGTGTGCAGAGTGGAGGATGTCGAGAAACATCAAGAAACCAAATATCACAACCAGGAGGCTGCAACAGGTCCTTTTCGAAGACATGTCGGGCACTGAAATGTCTCAGTTGGTGACCTATTGCAGGGTACTGGCATGTAAACTCGTGAAACATGGGGTTTGAACCTCTCTGATTTTTATATGTATATATTGGATCCCATCTACTTGGAGCTTTGACAGGAGCTGGGTAGGGAAGGTCCTCAGGTAGGTAGAATATGGTAGAATGCTGTTTGAGAGTTTCAACCAAAACAGAAACACGATGCTGCTGTGCTTCAACCAGCTGTTCCGGTGCTTCTTCTGCTCTTTCGTTGAATACGGCATAGCCGTTGTGACCCGTTGTTCAAGCGAGTGGATCAAAGGAGTAGGGCCTGAGTAGGGCCGAGTCGTAGGATGAGTTGGGACATATTGGGGACCAGGGCGCTCTGCTCATCGGGGAGTGCCATGGCGCTGAGTGCCTTCTCCCCCCCTTCATGTTGCATCACGTCGCGGGTGGTCGCCGAGAACAAGTCTGATCTTGTAAAAAATGAGCCGTTTTTGTAGAGCCGCGAACATGTCGAAGTTGCGGCTGTGATGGGTTGACTGAGAAAACCCTAGGCCTCCAGTCGTACCTCTTCAGGTATGACTTTACCCTCCTGGCACCCACTCCAAACAGCTTCTCAGGTTCGGTACGACTGGAGGCCGAGACGGAAAAGGACTTGGACCAGCACCTTGATTGAGACGACCTGAAGCTGCGCCCTGCAGTCTGGCTCGTGTCTGGCTCGCCCCCTCTCGGGTGGCGCTGGCGCTCTCACGTGCTTTCGGTTTCGGCGTTGCTTCCTCCCAATGGCGCGACGCGGCATTCTTCTTTGGAGTGGCTTGGCATGGGAAGAGATGCCCATGCATGTTGGCCTTTCTTGGAAGGTGCCACTGTAAGACCTAAGAACCAGGCTTCCAAGCAGCCTTAGCTTCAGTTGGGATGTTCTTCAACTCAGCTGGTCTCAGCCACAACCCCAGCACACTGCCCGCCCCACGAAGATACACAAAAACATGACGACAAACACAGAGTATGGTCTCTGATTCGAATCTACAGGCCTGTTTTGAGGCCTATTCATCCGTGCCTAATCGTTGTTGTCTTCCTTTGGTTCTTTATTGAGCCTCAGTGCCAACTGTCCCATTTTCCACCTTCACGCTGCTCGTGCCCAGGCGTGACGTGTTTGGCCCTGTGGAACGTTTGCTTCGTGAACTTGCCACGCTCCCAGCGAGAGCCCCTAGTGCTCCGCGGAGACAAGGCGAGACGGCACTCTCGATGGCCGTTCCTCCACGGCGTGAGACGACATTGAGGGTATATGGTAATATATATATATGGTATATATACATCCAAAAACAATTCAAAATGCTAGTAGAGGAAAAAGGGAAGTTGTTTATCAATCAACGGTCAGTATAAAACAATGTATATAACCGCTCGTCCAGCTCTTGTAGCACTGCAACAGTGATCTATGTGAGATGGCAGGGCCCTTTTGGACACGGAAACATCTTCAACCGCTCAACTGGACATGTTTGGAACTTGGATGACGGGTGCATTCTAATCCCAGGTTGGCTGAAAAGGAGCGGCTCGGAAGCCCTGGCTATATGTATATTATATGTAGCAAATGTAGCTGCGTACTGGGACGCATGTTGATCTATATACTTTTTTGTCGAATCTGCATGGCCCAACTTAGACAAACCCGGGCTTATTTTGGGGGAGGTGTTCTGTGACTTCCTGCGCTTGGACAGGAAACCCGAGCCAGAGGAAATGCGCGGCGTGGACACTTTCAGAGGCTGGTGACGTTTGGGTAGAGGAGGGCGTCAACCAACGAACTTTCTGTATAGAAATCCAAATAGGTAGAAAAGTAGAACCCCACTGAAAATGTATTGGAAACCGTGCCGCATGTGCCACTCTCTATTGGGGGACCACTACTTATAGCTTCTTGGGTCGGTGGCTCGCTTCCTTTTCTCGGGAAACATAAGCAATCACATCCTACTACGCTACTAGTTACTTAGCAGTGGGAAGCCAGGCCTTTTGGTTTGCCAAGCTTGTTTGGCCTGAGCCCCCTTGGTTTCAGGTTTTCGCTATCAGGTTTTCACTATCAGGTAGCTTGCGAAGATGATCAACAGCTGCTCCATGAATCGGCCGCATGGTTTCGCCCACGTGGTGGAACGGGTCCAAGCCAGGCAGAACGTCCGCATGGTGGAGATCGAGGGGAAGATGATGCCGCAGCAGTGCCTTGGGAAAATGCGGGACGGTTCAACTGCGACCTTCGGTGTATGCCATATGTTTAGAACATACGATAGGTATAATATATAATGCCGTGTTTAAATGCCTATATACCATATGCTCAAACTGGCTGCCAGTTGACAGGTGCAGCACCACAGCACCACCCGTGGTACAGACACTTCTACTGTCTCCCATAAGCCAGTACCTTAGCCTTATACCTGGCTCACCCTTGTTTTGCACATACTCACCGCGTCTCTGTGCCTGGTTCAATTGATGGCAATGGGACTTGTCCCAGTGACCAAACTCCTAAAGTCAGGGTCATTCACTTAGCTATATATAGATGGACCACCCACGTATGCCTGCATTGATCCTTAAAATTTAATTAAGACAGCTAAACATGATCCCAAGTTAGGTGAATCTTCCATACATCGAGATTAGGGATAGATGCACCCAGCATATAGACGTGGAGCATGAATTGAACCCCAAGCCGGCCTGCATGGCTTTTTTCCGTCAACTAGGCCAACTTGCTGGGAGCGCCCCAGCATGCTCCTTCTCAGATCTTGCACCGCTGTTTGCATGCTTTTTAATGATGGAGTTCGACATACAAAAACACTAGAGTTCGACATGCAAACACACTACTCTTTACGGCCCAATAAGGTTATGCTTATATAGTCATAGTCTTTACTTGTTGAAAGCGACTCGACTCAATGACTAGCTTCTAGTTTCTTCCAGCTCCCGGGACGACTGGGGATGGGAATGCAGCAAATGACAAAGCAGAATTATATATATATATTATGATATGCTATGAATTGCCCACGAGATGTTTCAAAAAAAGAGATCAATCAACATATATACATATATAATTGTAGTCCGTTCATGCAATTGCATACAGGTCCATATACAGCATATGACATGCCATATGACATACCATACCATACCAAAACACATGGCTCTTCAGGTTCCTCACGGCCCTGGCGCCCGAAGAGTCGGACCCAGTCCCGAGCCGACGAACGGCGCGGAAGCGGTCGCGCGCGCGGCGCGAGGGCAGCGCGCGGAGGTTCTATTTGGAGTTGTTGGGATTGATGATACGGTACATGATATATTTAATTATGTTTGATAATACCGTCAATGGATCCATATTGGTACTATGTGTTTATAAATAACACCATAGAATACTGTCAATGGATCCATATTGGTATTATATGGTCATACGGTATATCTGTTTGATCATACACATGTGAAATATATATACCCTAGGGCCCCCTGAATAAGGGGTGGCTAATGGACATTCCGAATCACCTCCAAGGAGCTATAATTGGGCGGGGCCCTGGTATATTTTTGTTTTTTGTTTCAATTTAGAGGTGAAGACCAAATGTGATATGGTGTCAAGTAATATCATGTTATGTCATGTAGTATAATGTAAGATAACTATATTCATATCCACGTATGTATCATGTAATGTTATGTATTGAACATTATTGAACTATATGTATAACTGTAACATACAGCAATATATATATATATATCATATATTCATATAATGTTTGCCCTGTATAAGGATAGTTTTTTGAAGTGTGAACATACAATCGCAAATGATCAACATACGTTTACATACGTTTAGCAGAGGCCTTTCATCCAACGCCAAAATCTGGGTGAACAGCCAACATCCATGCTCAGCCAGCCTCCAATTGGCGAACGCCAGTTTTTGAAGCATCCACCAGCAGCATGCACCAGGACACGCCCTGGAGCGTGCGACAAGCACCCGGTGGCGAACTCAGCGTGCCTCGGCAGGGAAGCAACAAGAAGCACCACAGTGGAAGAAGAAGCAAGGGTAGTACTATATATACCACAATTAGTTGATATTTGTTGGTTGTAGACTCTCATAGTATTCTTGGATTCTTGGAAATGATATTAAGACTCTACCGTAAAGCATGATTATTTATGTTCTTCGGTGTTAAATATTACAAGTTCATTGCGCATGTTGCGCACAGACACGCACACACTTCCTAAATCTGAGGGCGTTCGCCCACGAAGAATCCTGGGACTATTCTTTATATATCCCTACAGGTCAATGACCTCATTGTACTGGAGTAGGCAATGCAGAAACACCATTCCAGCAAGCAACCGACCTGGTTTTACTGGGTCGTTGGACTTGTAGGGTATGTGTGTTGATTTATGTGAATCTTTTGGAATCTGAAACAACATCAGAAACCATCCAACACGACCTCCCAAGCATTTGTTTGAATGCCGTATTCTGAAGACAGGGCGGGCTCCGTCGCCACTTCTGGCCGTCGTTTTGCGCGGTGACACGGGCCAGGTGACCTTTACGAAGAAACCCTATGGCATTGTCCGTTGGCAGCCCGGGCAGGAGACGGGATCACGATGCGGGATTTCTACATCGTATGTTGCAGCATGTCAGGTGCCTTCCTACCAGAACCCACGGTCAGGTGCCTTGTGAATGGACACCCCTTAACCTCGAAGTGACTTGTTCTTTGCGGGGCTATTGATAGACAAACCATGGCCAAAAGGCGCATTCCATTCGTTTCAGCACCTGGTGCATCCCTGGAGCGGTGATGTCCTAGGAGAGC